CATTGTCTGAAACAAGATGATCAAGTAGAATAGATGCTATCAAACCGCTGTTTACAAATTTATGAAAATCAAATAGTATATCAGATGATCAAAAGGCAAAGTATGACGCTAAATGTCTAGCGGAAAAAATATGCTCCTTTTCATTCATTTGTTCACTAAATATATGGCATATAATATTGACAAAAGTAAATTTTGTGAGCAAAATTCTGCAGCCATCGATATGAATATGTAAGTTGCTTTAGATGCTTTAACGGAATTAAAGAAGTTTTAATCAATAATTAGAACCGACGCAAATTGTGAGGTACTTAATTGTAAATGATGCTACGAAAATTGCCGAAAAATTAGATGTCGAGGCTGAATTTGAAACTTCTAGATCCAGACCCCTAAGACGTCGTAAGACTCCAAAGAGTTTTGATTATGAACACGAAGACCACACTATAAATGATCCGAAAACCGCTTTTATAATTAATGTATTTTTTTATATACTGGATCAAGCTTTATCCTCCGTAGACGAAAGATTTAATTTATTGAATAATCAAATGACGTGTTTATTTTTTTATTTAAACTAAATGATGACCAAGGTCAAAGTCGATTTAGAAGTAACTGTCATCGTTTGCAGGAAAAATTCAGCAAATGCTTCATTGGATATTAACGCCGATGATTTGTGTGAAGAAATTATGTCATGTCAGTCTTTTCCGTAAAATTCAATAATTATTTGACAGCTGTATGCCCTAACATTACGAATTTTGCTATGTCAGTTACCGTAGCAAGCGTAGAAAGGACCTTTTCTAAATTAAAACTTATAAAAATACCTGCGCTTAACAACGAGCCAGGAAAGATTAACAAATTTAGCAACAGTATCCATAGTGGAGGCCATATTAGACCACATACTCGTAGAAATACACGAAACTATTAAAGACTTCGATAATATAACAGGAGGATAATATAATTTAAGTGTGTTTATATTCTTACATATTTTAGACTCTTGTTGTTTTTTTAAGTATACGTAATAGTTAAATGAGTATTATTTGAATATTTTATATATATTATTTATATTATTATAATTGTTGACAAAGATATACTAATATCTAAGTTTACAATTAGATATAATATCATAACTAAAGTATGTAAAATTTAATTCCTGTTTTATTTTATTGCAGTATTTGGCAAGCGGAAGCGAACTGGTTTTACCTATTTAGGAAAATATCATCTAAATATATAAAACCGGAGAACATTTATTGCGTTCAAAATTAACAAATAATAAAAAAAAATATGTTGAAACATGGAGATTTGTGGAAAAATAGAGGCGCTTCATAGGTTTCGCACACAGGCGCTGCAGTACTCCTTGCGACACGTCAGCGCTCACCTCCACACTGTCTGCTGTGTTACCCCTTCTACCTAAAAATATTTGATATGAGCCTATCAATGCCGCTTTGGATATTTGTTCAAGAAAAGAGCTTACTGCTCTTGGCAAACCAAGGTCTTTAAGCAGGTTATAGAGAAATTTAGCTGGTATACCCCTCGTACCCACTTCCACGCATACAACGCAACTAAATAACCATTTTTAGTTATTTCGTTGGTTAAGTCAAAGTACTTGTTTCTTTTTGTGTCTTTAGGGATGTTCATTTCCCACGTACGTTTCCCATAGTACTACACGCTTAATTGACATTAAATAAAGAAATATGTCTGGTCTGGACGCAGAGGCACAGATATTCCCCAGTATTCTGTAATGAATTTCATACGTGTCCACTAATAATAATATATAATCATTTTTATTAGAGTAACCATGACTCATTGCTTGTTAGTAATACATAAAACTTATCCTATGTTAGTATGTATAATGTCCAGTCACTGGCGGTATTTATACTTGAGTACGGTTTTTGTGAAGTTTTTTTTGTTGAGCCTTCCTTTACAAACTCGATGTTACTTCTTATGTTTGTTGTTATTCTTTTTTTTCGCTCTGGCCAGTGCTAAACTTATAGCATCGCGTATGATTTGTGATTGTACCTATTTCAGCACTGCACATCGTACAAGCCTTTTCTGTAGCTTTGCCCCACCTTAGTAGGTTGCTTTGATCGGGAAGAGTTAATTGAAAGGCGTTGAGGTAAAATTTTAATAGGGCAGGTGACCAATCGCATACTTATAAGTGGGCGCCATTTCAAACCTGGTGGGATACATAGTTCTCGTAAAGTTAACACTTCATTCTGCATTTCTAGGTTCATTGGGCATAGCATAAGCACCTTGTAGGTCTCGTTTTCATCATGTTGTAGGAAAGATTTTCTTATCTATTTGTCCAACTCTACTGGACTGCGTACCCACTACTTATTTAGGTACTTTTAAACGTAAACAATAAGCATAGTTTGGAGAATCAACACATAAGTAGATATTTATACTTTTGTGCCTGGGCTTGTATTTTACAAACAAGTCTAGAAAACAAAACATGGTGGGTACATATAATTTGTTTGTTTAAAGCAACCAACTGGGTTGCCTATTGCGTGTATCACGAATTCGTTTCATTGGTTCGGTTTCGTTTCATTCCGCTAATAGCTAGGCTGTAGCATTATTGTTAAGGAATTGCTAACTGAACACGTAATATTTATAAAGAAGATTCTTTTGTTGGTAACGCTAATTTTGAGAACAACTAATTAAATTTGAATTTTAGTTTTTGATAGCCCCATTTTGAGACAGGTAATAAGTAATAGTTGTCTATATAAATGTCAGTGGCATAAAATTAACTCATCCGCACGATACCAATCTTAATATTTCATCAGCACTTGGCACTGATAATACTTGGCACTTGGCAAAATTCCTATTATTAAGAGAGATTGTATCATATTATTTAACTAGATAAACCTGTAAACTACATAAAGGTACAGCTCATTTACAAAACTATTCAGTGTAATATTTTGGTTCACAAGCAGCACTTTGTCAAAACAAGCTCATTATTATGATTCGTAACGGTCACTACGACAATTCTTTGTGTGGTAATTTCCATAGCATGGCTGCTTGGGACGCAAACCATACGTAACCTGACGTTATGGCGCAATGGATTACAGCAACAATTTATAATTCACAACAGTGGCTTCGTCAGTACTACTGCAGAAATGGCCTTGCCCCCGAAACAAATGAAATCTTTTAATTATAATCTAGTTGTTACATGTGGTTTTATTCGCGATGATCTTGAACAAATACACTAATTATTATTACATATTTCGCTTACCTCACCAAACGTACAAAAAACTAAGTGACGACACTTAAAAAAGGTTTATATTTCAGATGACTTATTTATATGATCGATTTTTATAAAAATATATTGTTCTAATTTAGTGCTTAACTCCTGGGTTCCTACCATCCTATCGAGGGCCTGACCAGAGGCGGATTGAGTATCAAGAGCGCCCTAGGCAAGCACCTCATTTATTAAGATGTCTGGGCCTTACTTTTTAGATGGCATCACCTTCACCCCTACGCCTACACATATGCAGGATGGACGTCAGGAGTCATTCAACCTGGCCAGGAGAGTTCTAAGCCTCCTCAGGTCTCGCTCCACCCTCTTCTTCTCGAAAGTAACTTGCTCGTAGAAGGTGAAGGTCCGTAGTAGTAGTTAGTAGGTCCCTCCGACGCTCATGAAAGAACAAGGCCTCAGATTTGTCCAGAGACACCTCGAGTTCCAGCCGCTCCTCAGGGTGCGCCTTACCACACGCCGTCACGAGCGTATCATCCACGTAGCTCGTGACGTTGACACTATCCAAGAGAACACAGCGGAGCACCCAGTCGTAGCCGATATTCCACACGAGCGCCCCTAACACCTACCCCTGCGGAAGACCAAACGACATTACACGCCTACCGAGACCGTTCCTACCCCCTTCTTTCCCTTCTAGCGCCAGTCCATCAAAAGCGTGGGCACCACCTTCAGGGACAAACTCTTATAGGCCACACGCCCCACAAGACCAAAACCCGTCCACTGAGACCACACTCAGGGCAGCATGAGGCGCTGGAAGGCGCGCCAGCTATGGAGCGTGTAACATCTGGTAGCGAGAAATCCTCTCCGATGACTGCAATGAGCGCCAGACGATACGTTGACCAGTGTGTGCAGAGCCGAGTTGAGACTGCACTGGAGTGGTGACCAGCGCAAATCAATTCATTCCTAGCGATCATAGCTGGTACCTCCCTAAGCAGACGCGCCTAGAAAAAACCTGCCCCCTAAGACTATGACCGGCTGGACCGTAACCACGGCGCCAAAGCCAGTACGTGGAGCCTCCAGCCGGGATGACCAATGAGTCATCGTGTCTCGGCAAGCGGCCTTCAGCCATACATTTCCGCCTCGAGAAATCTGCCAGCACCTCTGAGGGTTAGCACTCTTAGAGCGCGCCTTATTTTGGGCGATCAGAGCTTCCACCGACATTGTTGCACCGTATAGTGTCATTGGACAACCCTGACAACTACAACTCATAGAGTAATCTCTACTACAGCTGTAGTTACAGCAACTGCATTCTTGTGTACACGCACTAGCCTCGATCTTTGTAGAAATCAGAAACTGAAAGCAAAGAAGTAGTGGCAATCACGTAATACAAAATCCTAGATGTCAACCTTAAGCATCTCTATAGAATTAAGGAATTGTGTATTTTGTGTAATTATGTATGCATACTTCCTAACACAGTTCTTTTTATGTTAGGCATATTTTTTCTTTGTTAAAAAATTATGCGCGTGTTCGCCCCTACGTAACCTCGAGCCCCTAGGTACGTGCCTACTTTGCCTTAGGGTTAATCCGCCACTGGGCCTGACTAAATGATAAGTAAGCAACACACAAATCTCTAAATAAAGCCGACACTTAACGATATAAATAATTTATTTAGAAGAAAAGGAAAGAAGAGTTACCAATCACGTAGGCTAACGAGTGCACTAACAGAAAGTATATATATATATACATATAAGTATATATACCAAAGTAAAATAAATAATAGATAGACAAAAAGATAAACAAACGTTCTTCTTGTTTTCAGAGACGACAAATTTACCATGGTTCGTTAAGTCGTACTGGATCTTTTTCAACGTAACGGCTGCCATCTCAATCATGATCACTGCTCTTTACTGGATATTATTATATGATCCAGGTACGTATCATCTACTGCCTCCGTGGCTACTTACTACTATCACACTTTACCTTTTAATGAGCCAATTCTTCGAGTAAATGGCACTACTTACCACGCTATTAGACAGTAATACAAAGACTTCATGTTTAGTTACGTTTACGTTGTTTTCATTCATTGCGCATTAATCATCGTAGAAACAAGTTTTTTTTAGAATGCAAAGCATTATCAACACAACTAGAAACGTGGGAATGTTTGAAGGTTACAGCATAAATTATTTACGATAAAACGATCTGTGTCTCGTCCTTTTGATGACAATTATTTTATAATTTTGCTTTTCAAGTCGATCCGAAATAGTACGGGATTGGCAGTTTCAGTTTCCTTATTAAAAATAACAAAAATTAACTAGATGGATTTCCCTACAAAAAAATATGCTAATGGATAAGCCCGGGTGTCGTTTCCTTAAATATCTACTATGACATCACTACTAGCTCGTGTTTAATACTCGACCCATTTAGTGAGGGAAAAATCTAATCGGTTTTATTCGTCTAAATCAATGCCTTCTATTGTTTTGTAATAGAGAAAAAAATGGAGGTAAAAATATTAATTGAAATTCCTGCCGGCTTGCGGCGCCTTGCCCGAGACTTCATTGATAAAAAAAAATAATGAACTAACGGGCAGACCCGGGTCACCCGATGGAAAACGACTACCGCCGTCTATGAACGCCTGCAACTCAGGAGTCACAAGCGCGTTGCCAGCGCTCTTTTCTTGAAGGTTTGAAGGTCGTATCGGTCCGGCAATACCGCAGCCGATAACTTGTTCCGTAGGTTGGTAGTGCGACGCAAAAAGTGTCTTGAAAAGCGCCCAGTGGTGAAGCGCCAATTATCCAAGTGGTGGGGATGAAAAGTTTGCCGTGTGAAATGATGGCGGAAGGTTGCGGCCGGTATTAGTCCGAACTATTACTCGGAGCACTTTCAATGATATATACGATAGAAAATGCAGAGCGAAGCTACATCTCTACGTGACGAAAAGGGATCGAGCTGGTCGCAAATCTTAGAAAAGAGAACAGTACTCCATATGCGGTCGGACTTGCGGCTTATAGAGTTGGAGGCGATGGGTTGGAGTGAATTACTGCATCGATCTGTTCAACACGCCGAGCTTCTTCCTGGCTTCTTCGTTGCCCTCTAAATGACCACGAAACTGGACTTCACTCGATATCTCGATGCCTAGGACTGCAATACTGGCTGAGGCAGTTAAGGAGGTGCTCTCGAACCGAGGCGATACGACAAACGGTATCTTTTTTATAGTGAACGCGCAAACTGTGTCTTTTTTGCGTTAAAATGGACCAGATTAAATCGACCTTTTTTTTTTTCCTTGCGGAAATCCCCTCGGATACCACCTGTCGGTGGCATGTCGGACTCGAACCGACTAAAACCGCACGCCGTCGCCGGGTACTAATAGCCGGGGAACCAGGTATAACCTAGAAAGGAAGTCCCTGGTGCCCCGACATACCTCGGGTCATCTACAGACGAGTAGACGACCCCCCCCACGTGTGGGAACCCCATGTTCCCTGTGCTCCCTGGAAGCGAGCGCGCTTCGCAACGCGCTCGCCGCCACCCCGGCCTGCTTCTGCTAGGGTGACAGATGGCCTCACCTGTCACCCCCAGGCCTGCGCTTATGGAGGACGGAGGTCGTTCTGCGGGATTAAATCGACCTGAAGCTGAAACCTCCGCTAAAGAAATTTCAACTTCAGATACAAGTTCTTTTCGAATCTCTATGACGTTTTCCCGAGAAATATTATACACCGTCGATAACGACCTTAATGCTTCTATCTGCCAGGAAACTGATGACCCAGTTACAAAATTTCTAGGGAAACCCATAGGAAGGAAGCTTCGAGAGAAACGCCCTACGCCACACCCGATTGAAGGCCTTCGCTATGTCCAAGCTTAAGGCACAAGCCTCTCCCTTGGTCTCGATCGCCTGTGCCCACCGGTGTGTTAGATAAACAAGAAGATCACCAGCTGAGCGACCCGGCGAAAACCATATTGTCGGTCATTGAGTAGCTGATGATTTTCTAAGTACCAGAGGAGATGGCAGTTAATTACGGATTCCCTAATCTTAGAGAACAATGGCTATAGGCATGTAGTTGGACGGATCAGAGAGTCACCTTTTTTAGGGATCGGGCACAAACGCTACCTTCCAATAGTTCGGAACGACACCTAGGGAGTAGGAGAGTCGAAAAAGGCGAGTTAAAACCGGTGCCAACTCTGAAGCACACGTCTTCAGCACGATAGGGGAGATTCCATCGGGCCCACTCGACTAATGAATATCGAGGTAAGAGTAGTTTACGCACTGATTTCTGTGTGAACCGGATATCCGGTATACAGCTTTGGCACCACGGTCGGCGGTATGTTTCCCCCGTCATCCAAAGTCGAGTTAGGCGCAAAGAGTACGCCTAGGAGATCGGCTTCTCCTTGTCATCATAGGCCAACGAATCATCGCCCATTCGCAGGAAATGCATCATGGAATTGCTTGACGACCGGTGTTCTGTGAGGCCGTGGTATCGCATCGTAATATATATGTTTTGTATTTTCCATTTATTTATTTATTTATTTCCAAACTTCCGTCTATTATCACAGGTTACAAACTTAATGCAATAACGAATCAATTATTATAATATAAAAATAAACAATCATTTCTGTATGCGATCAAGGATTGGTTTCATCCTCTTAAGTACACCAAATGCAACGTGTGGAAATTAGTTTTTTTTAAATATGTGCAACTTGTTTTGAACTCTCACTGGTCTCCCTCCCAATATATAAAAAAAAACAACATCCAAATGAACCTTATAAATTATTGATCTCTCACATTATTGTTTTCCTATTTTGAAACCATCAAAATTTATTTTCGTGATAAAAGTATTCAATGGTGCTAATTCTGTTTTTCAAAAACTCTCTAAACTAAACTAAAAATCACTAAAATTTAGATTAGAACTGTCAAGTACCACGTTTTCAGAATTAGAAACGTTATTTGACAGGACTAAATTTTTTTTAGTTATCTTTAGTTTAGTTTAGATATATAGTTTAACTTTAACGTTTAACTAGTATATATAGTTTAACATAGTTTAACTTCAAATCATGACAAGTTTTATATGAATACATCCAGTAGTTTCGGCGCGATGCGCGACCGTGGTACAGACAGACAAACAGAAAATGCAAAAAAAAATGTTCAGTAGGTAGGAAAAACATTACTAAATTTCAGTAATTAGTACCTATAAATAGCACGTTAACAGAAAAAGTGTAAAAAACTTCGCCCTATAAACTAGAAATGTTCTAGAATAGCATCTTATATTCAGCATCTGTTAGGAGACATTAGACATATGATTCATTTTAAAATATTTAGTAATAAGTATATTTTACCATAATCTGACTTCAGCTGCACAAGAAAAATTGGGACTGCGGGCTCTTTGGCTAGACATATCGACGCACGGGTTGGCGTCATGTATAATAGTGGTTGAATTGTTCACCTCACGAACACCCATCAGACTGGCACACATCTACCAGCCACTCTTTCTTGGTATCTGGTATGCTGCCTTCTCTGGCATTTACTACGCTGCCGGAGGTACTGACAGGTAATGCTCACTAAACATACTATTCATAATATATAAAATACTAACCAATTTGTTATAGATTATGCAGGCTTCCGCTCGACCCTACTAACTTAGGACCCATGGACACCCAGCTTACCAATCAGATTCATAAAAATTAAAAAGTCAAGTTGACATTGAACAGTTGACTGCAAATTTCCGCCCAAAACGATTGCGTTAAATTTACCCATAATTTAAACAATGCGTATCATTTCTTAGGCCCCGTCCGCACAGCTTCTGTTCAGCATCCGTTTTCTTTTTCGCAAAATTTGACACATAGGATCTATATAAGACTAAACTATCCGCACTGGCGGAAAAAAATCGGGCGAAAAAAAATATTGTGACTTAATACAAAATGAACGCCACACGGTGGCGATGTATTTCCACAGAATTTGAGGGAAAAAACGCGCGGTGTAATATCGCTGTGCGGACGGGGCCTCAATGTAAACTTCTCGCTGATATATTGAATTGTACATTATAGTTTAGTACATCTCCCTGCAATCAAGAAACCAAAAAAGCTGTACATACTTTGTACCTAATACATATTTTTACAATCATTTTGAAAAAGATACTTTCATCAATGTATGTCCACGAGTCGATATTCTTAGGCATAGTTTTTTTTTTTTTACATTTCTTTATACTCTGTACATACCTACTGTATTTTAATATTTTTTTAAGATTGAAATACATTTCATTGAACTGTTCATGAAATTGAACATTAGGACATTTAGTTTATGGAAATACTTTAATATTTATTTAGGGCAAAAAAGTTAATATACATATTATATCGATTAACCCCACGCCAAAAGCCTCGCTCATTACTTATACGCCTATATAGATGATAAAAGGACAGTTAAAGTTGTTAGTTAAAACTCTATCGAAATATATTTTTTGTTTTTTTTTTGTTTCAGAAATGGCAATGTATATATTTACGCAGTACTGAACTGGCAAGAACCGAGGTCGACGGCGATCGTGGTGGCTGGCTCAGTAGTTGCCGTGGTCGTCTTGTATGTAATATTATGGGGCTTCGCTGTCTTCAGGGACAAGTTATCTTTGACTTACGTGCGAACTCACAATCTGCCGATAACGCCACCGGATGCAAAGGCCGACCGACAAATGGTGTGACTGACCTAGTAACATTTTAATATAATGTTTTAGCAGTGTTTCTAAATTATTGGAGAGATTGACGTGTGCTCAAAATATTAGAAAAAGTAGATATTATAGTTTAGATATTATATGGATACCAAATATTGTATAATAAATAAATGTGTACCAAGTGCTCATTACTTTTAAATAAATTAGGTGTTATTTGTCGGTAATTCTTTGTTATAAGAAATTATTTGAAGGAAATTACCGCTCAGTCGCTTTTTTCGTAAGTTAGGCAAAATTTTAACGACGATGTAACGGACACGATCAGCAATGCTTTTCTCTAAGGAAACAGCCTTACAGCTTCGTTTTAAATTCGACGCTGTGACAGCGCTGTGGTGCCGAATTTCAAACGAATTTAGTTTAAAATTCGACGCTGTTTGAGTGCTGTACGTAAGGCTGTCTCCTTAGAAAATAGCACTGCAGGACGATTCGGCAGCACATAATTTGAAACATATGTCAAAGTCTCATTTCGTGCCACCTGAATAGTATACAATACGGAAATTGACGGACCTGCCATGCTTGTCTACTATAATTGTTGAGGTTTATGATTGGCTGTAGCAAAAGTTGCAATTTACAAACCCATCTTAGTAGCGGATTTTTCAACTATAACTACTTATAAAAATATTACTTTATATTATAGATTTTTAACGAATAGGCCGGCCCGGCCAGAGTGCTACGTAAGTTTAAGTATAGGAGTATTTTAAGTATTTTAATATACATTTCCTATATTACTAAGACACAGGATTATATTTACGATAAGTTTTATTTTAATGGATGCTCAAAGTAGTAGTGATAAATATACCTAAAGCAGTATTGTTGGTATTGGTATTGGTTGTGGGCTCCGATTTCCGCATTTAGACTCGAGAGTGGTCCTTTATGCGTCTAGAAGAGCCAACCAAGCTCCTTCCAGAAGCGCAGAAGCCTCCTCCTCCTGGGGCGTTCAGACTTCTATTAGCGATTTTGTACCGGGTATAGTACTTGCCCGTTGTGTAGAAACTCCCTCGCATTCCAAGATTACGAGGGCGGCCGTTTCTTCTGCTTTCAGGCCTCCTCTGCAAAGAGGACTGTCCGTCGCATTAATGATGAATAGTTGTCGGTTCAGGGCTAGGTGTCCTGTTATGGAGTTCCTGCAACTATTCGGATATCTAGTCTGCTAAGACCGATCAGTCTGCAAGTAAGTCGTGGTGCGACTTCAGTCAGCACCAGTTTCGACTGTCTGTAGCCGGGTGAATTTTTCCACCTTCGGTTGTGCGCTTCACGAGTACGCTGTCTAACCCAGGATCGAAGTTGGTTAAAAGGCAGTGGCAGGAGTGTGGTTGGGCCGGCGGCCGTGGTTGCCGAGCCCCTCCTTGCCAACTCATCTGCAGCGTCATCTTTAATCCATTGGAGGAGCACCCCATTTGTTGTGGCAAGCTGCTCCAATGCTTGATGGCATTCAAAGACTACACCAGCGGTAATTGTGTTGCCCTCGAGTGCCTTTAGGCCAGTCATGATGTCTGACAATATACGGAGAGTGTGAGAAAACTCCGGCTGCACTTCTGACCTAGTCTTGGAACTGTCCGTGTAAATTCGGACAAAGTTTATGCCAGATTGATCTCGGTCATTTTCTTGTGTCAGAATGTGATATTTCTATGCGAAGATATGGTGTTTTGGGATCCTGTCGCATGGGGCTGCTAATAGTAGCCCATTCGCGTTACGAAAATAGTAACGCAATAGTGACACATCGGTCAAGCCTGACCGCCGCACCTTGAACAATAGGTTTCCAAGATGTCGTACGAAACAATAATTTCTTGGAACTTGATTGGTCAGGGGACGGGGCTTGATCGATGTGTTGATGATCGATGTGAATTGCGTTACTATTTTCGTAACGCGAATGGGCTATAGTAATATTTATATTTATGTATATTTAATACTGATTTAGGTTTTCACCAGCATTAGCCAAGCTCTGTCTAGACATGGTGTTGAATCCACAATCTCAGGGTGGATCGATAGCACGTCGTAGCACGTCAGTACTGTCTTAAAAAATGGACTATAGAAATGTACTTTATGCGAATAAGGATTTAAGATAATGAATTAATTATTATCACATAAGTAATATTAATAGAGAAAATGGATGAAAAATTAAATTAGGTAAACCAAAAATAGTAATTAGTTATAAATGGTACCCCGGTACTATGATATGAGTAATACGGCGGCTGAAATGATTACTAAAACAGTTGGTATTTCACAGGTTAGAGCTATTTATTATTATTTAAATAAAAAACAAATCTACCCGCTAAAACTTTTTTTGTGAAAATATGTAACATACAGCATTATGTTACATATTTTCACAAAAAAAGGGGTCCATACAACATTATTTCAGGTATTACCATACAACATTATGTTAAAGTAATTGAAAAACAATATTAATTACAAAAACATTTATTAGATACTAATATAGCAAAATCTACATTTAAACACAAAGCAACCAATTAAAACTATGATTAATATAACAAACTAAATAATTGATATGTGTGATTAATTTAAATTTGACTTAGTAACGTGTATACTGTGCGGGCCGTCATTGAAGACATTAAACTGTTTACGACACATTTCAACTAAACAAATAGTAACAACCAAAATAAAACTCGCTTATTAAAATAATTTTGAAATACATCTACATCCAAGTATACAATTTCAACAAAGGATATCATGATCAATTTGGACAACAGTCTCAAAAAATAAGCAATCTCACATTTACCTTGTATATCCAAAAATATAATTTCCTATATACAGTTAATAGTTACTAATTATGTTTATCTAATCGTTCGTTAACGACAAACGACTGTGACTTGACTTAACGTAAGATAATATGGAGAGATTTGGTCACATTTTCAGCCAACGGCAAGTTGTAAAAAACTTGCACACTATTAACCAGAATGTTTAGATAGCTACCAATTATCTTTGGGACCTATCTATGGTTATTGTGGAGACAATCAACAATTACATTGATAGCACTAATTTAAAACCCTCTATGTCGGTTTATAGTGTTTTTAATCAATGCTTAATAAGCATTCAGAGCTTATGTAAATAGTGCAGTGTAACGACATTGTTTTGCCTCCTGAAAAACTTCAAACAACTGAATAAGTATGTATGTGTTTACAGTACATTTTACAGAATACATTTAAAAAAAGTACAAGTTTAACTTTACAAAAGTTTATCTTATTAATAAGTTTTGCATTCTCAATAAGTAATGTTTCGTTAAATACAACTGTAATACCTTAATACTAATGTTAAATTATATTTAACTGGAAACTGCTCTGTCTCACTCTACAACAATCAATGATTCCTTTATAAACATTCAATATCACAAACATTCACAATTATACTAAGTATCTACTCGACCTTAAATCTAAAAGGCATTTTAGAGATCATGTCTTATATTATTATAATTCAGAGTGAGCAAAGTATGTTGAAAATTAATATTGTCAAGTGATGTTACCGGCCTTCAAAGATACCTTAAAATACCAAATGACTAATATATACATACTTCATTCTTATAAAGAGGAGACAGTAACTATGCATTAAGACTATTCTAAACTTTTTAGTGCCTATCGATGTCTGATGTGTGAATACGAGGATATAACTAATTATTTACAGTTCGCAGTTCTGAAATCGTGTGTTCTTCAAAATGTTCATTAAGAAAATTGACAGATTTTTCGTTTTTATACTTATCACAACTACGATGAAAGATTGTGTCAAGACGGGGTCTACCCGTCATATTCTAAAGATAAACCCTCATCCGGTGGCGAGGCCAACCACTAAACTTATTACTATTATTTTTGCAGTCTAATATTATAAAAACCATTTATTTTAAGTAAACATTTGAATGCCGACCCTTCCCGCCAAATTTTATAGTCAAAAGATAACATATGATTTTAGAAAAAATATAATTTGACCTAGCTTATATAAGTATTGTCGTTAAACACATTACAAAAGTAATTGATAAATATTTAAAAAAAAACAAAGCTAACAAGAATCGCCTCGTCACTAAAAGCTGCGTTAAAAAGAATCCTTATTGCCAGCTACAAATATTCACACAGTATACTAAAGGTTTGGTACTTAATTGGAATCTCGACATATTAAACCTTTTCGAGTTTTAATAGATATAAGAGCCTTGATTAGTTAATAAAAAAGTTACACGATCCTTTATACATATTAACAAGAAGTGTTATACACATTCCGGTACACATATAATTTTCTATAGCATTGCATCGAATTTTAAATTTTAGAGTATAATTTTTCTTAACAAACACAACGTTAGTCGTTATAATTTTTTTAGTATTGCACCTTAAGACTAAAAGTTCACTTCTTAAACATATCATTTGACATTCGACACATGTACAACTTAGTGAGATCATCGAATTTGTTGACAAATACACACTCAGTCTTTGCATCACAACACTGACAAACTACGGGTGACAAAAGTTTCTTCCTACTCGCCTAAGGCAAGGACACATGCAGTACATAGATATTTTTGTATTACTGTCCTGTTAAAGAAAAAGAATACTAACGCACATCGTTAAACTTAACTTGGTTTCTTTCACTACCTACTTATAAAAAAAGTTTTTTAAATAACTTGACATACTTAAAAAACAGCTGTTTGATTATTAAATAAGTAGAGCCTACACTGGTAACTAGACTACTGATAATATATTATTACTAAATAACCACTCAAACACAGAGAATAAATTAATGTGCGATAAGCATGAGCATATCGCACGTAGGCATGGGACAAAATCACAGTGAACTGTGAAACACCGGCGATTTATCATTCGATTTTTTCGTACGTAGGTTATGGTTACTACTTACTCAGGCGTTGTTGGCAATAAGCTGTTTTTAGACGATGCATAGAGACCCTATTTAGCCTATTTAATAGTAAATTGAGTAAATATTTTATTATACGAGTATATAGCTACCATTCGGTACATAATAATTTAAAAAATAATAGATTTAATGTTAAATAGCGTCTAACCCACCTGCCTAGCAACCCTTACCTGCGTACGCAAAAATCGAATGATAAATCACAGTTCACTGTGATTTTGTCCCATGTCTATCGGATTGTTATTTTTCGCTCAGCAGTCAGGATCAATATCCACTAGCTAGCCTAACAAATCGATTCAAATTTATTTAATATATACGGGTAAGATCAGATCCAAGTAAATGTTTAGCGAATGCCTTAAAGTTGCATGATTTTCACATCAGGACAGTACAAGCGGTAATGACAAAGAACTGATTCAGTACAACTCCGATGAAATCCTTACTGAAATGTACCTGACAACACTACCACTTGTAGTGATATAATTAATTATGATAAATATAATACCCACAGAACAGAAAAATACATGTATTAATAACATTCAATTTTCAATAGTATTTTAAGTGTTTGTTGTGCCCCCAGCTGCACTCAACCTCCTCCCAGAGGGTCGTAACTCGCAATTATGATAAAGTACCCCTAGGTTCTATGATTAATAGTGTCATCGATCATAGTCATATTTAGTTTTTTCCCAATAACATGGGCCCCGTAGTTACCAAATTCTTATGTATAAGGCTTAATTAAATAGTAGACTATGACCAAGACCCTTCCTTCCATTGTGCATTCTTGACGCAATTGTTACGTGATATCAAAACATACACTAACAATAGCACTTTGTGTATAATACACCTTACAGCATTGTAATTAAGTTTTAATAAAGCTTGATCCTAATGTGGTTTTATTTTACTGCTTTTTATGTAACTTTATGTATTACAGCATATTTTTATTTAATTTTTTACTTGGTGTAGCAGTCATTTTAACTATCCAGAATAGTAAACTTTAAACCTTTAAGTTCACTAACATTTCTGAGTTTATCTAACGTGTTTTATCGTGTACGAGTATGTCTTTAATTGTGCTTTTTCTGTTCCATGGTAATAACAACAACACATACTTGTCACAAGGCAAGCTCCTCCCCGTTCATGAGTAAAACCCGGAATGAGGATTCGTCTACTGCAGTATCTTCATACATTAGCTCCTCCTGAAGTTAAAAAAAAAACACATACATAAATAATAAACTTAACTTTAGCTTATTAAATAACTTCTCTTTTGCCTTTCGAGAACGTTGTAGAAATCAAGCAATTAAATCATGTAAAAATACCTATGACTACCGCTATATAGAAGTATTTACTTTTTACAATTTATATAAGTCGGCAATTAAATAACCTAACACATTGCTCATATAGTTGCGATTTGAAGATAAAAAATAAATTGTTCGAAAAAAAGTAATAAAAAGTAGCTAAGCATACTGAATTTGTGTGATAAATTATATTAATCAAGGTAAATATATTAAACATAATCTCAATAAGAAAGCTAAAATATTTTTTTTTATTTTATATATTGATATTTAAAACTATAAAATACAACTTGACATGTGACTGAATTTCGTTAATTGCTGAAGTGGCTGCCTTGCATATTCGTTCTATACTTAATAGTATCTTATTAAATACATTTACCCCAGCTTACTTAAAGGATCACTTTGTGTTCCTCAGTGACACACATCTAAAATCCTTAGTGTCATCGGAATCTTCGGAGCTAATGGTACCTAGCCACGCTACCATATTCTATGACAAATCTTTCACGGTGCAGGCTGTCAGATTATGGAACGCCTTGCCGATATCCATAAGACGTGCCCAGCCACTGACAGCATTTAAGAATAAGGTCGAAGATCACTATCTAGGTTCATAAGTACTCTTTGCTTTCAATAGCTGTACATGACTAAATTATTTCAATGTTATTAATATTTATTGTATATTATTTATATATGCATGTGTGCGTATGTAAGCCTATATTTATGTAACCACTACTGGAGCTTCAGCACTTCTAGACTACCTATTATTTCTTCTTATCTAATGCCGATTTGTCCCTCCAAAGTTTGATGGTAAGAGCTTGTTTTTAGCAATAGGGCGTCTTACGGACATAGCGATTTATAAACATGCAATAGAAATATTTATTGCATTCACGACGTGTTTTTAGACAGAGAGAGTGATAGCAGTCTCTTTCTTTGTCTAAAAACTCTTTTCATTTTCAAGACTAAAAAAAAACTATAAATAAAGTATTTAAATGTCTACTATTCTATCGGTCTATCTACTTTACAATTTGTTACTTGCGTGATTTTAAAGTATAGATTTTACAAAACTTGGCCCTAACTTAAAAAAATAACTAAAATATAGGTCTTAGATGAAATAGGTGTGTGTGTGAAATAAAAGAGTAGTAAGCATTGAAAGAACCAGTGAAGAATTGATGATGTTCAGTATTCCAGTTTAGGGTTCATGCGTGTTAATTGTATGAAGCTAGACTTATAAATTTTGAAACGGAACCCACACATGGCATGCACAGAACACATTTGCTACTAAATTTTCAATAACGAGCTAACGAGAGCAGTATAAAACGGAGTATTTTTTTTTGACGTGACAACGTCTTATAAATTGGTTTGCCGGGTGACACTTCAAGAAACTGCGTTACGCTCCGCTCACGTTATGCGCTCACAATGAGAGCGAGTGAGAGGCACGCGTCCCTTCCACTCGGGCATGGTTAGCCCGCCTAAGAGCGAGAGAGACAGACATAAAAAGTGAAAGGCACGCGTCCCTTTTTTAAATATAATTCTTTGTATAAATAAATGTTTTAAATTGTTACTATTATTTCATCCTTCTTCCTACTATACGAATGAATATTCACATTAAAATTATTTTACCACTCAAAGTCGTTGTCACGTAAAACTTTCGCCCGTATACCGACTTTACAGGCAACCAATTTTTATTTGTTTCGAAAGTTCATTCGTTTCTCTTTTGGAGCTGATGTTTAAACCCGATGTCTGAATAATTTTACAAACTATTAAAAATACTCATAGTAAATAGGTTTTTATGAAATGATAGCTCGAAAAACATATAGCTTATTATTGCTGATGTTACTACATACCGACATGAGATCAATAGTGGGATGAGAGTCGATGAGACACAGATCAGTGTCAATGGCTGCGACCGCTCCGCTGCTGTCAGCCATTTCTGCTGCAATATTTCTGTCGGACAAACAATATAGATCGTTTACATTGAATCTTTTTTGGTTTGACTTTTTTTTTATGTTAGAGGGGGCAGACGAGCAGACACCCCACTTGATGGAAAGTGACCATCGCCGACCATGAACGTCTGCAACTCAGGAGTCACAAACGCGTTGCCGCCCTTTTAGGAAGGACTACGCTCTTTTCTTGAATGTTTGAAAGTCGTATAAGTCCGAAAATGCCGCAGACGATTACCCGTTCCACAGATTGGTTGTGCGGGGCAAAAAGTGTCTCGAAAAGCGCACAGTAGTGGAGCGCCAACTACCCGGGAGATAAAGATGAAAATTTTGCCGTGTGGAACGCCGGCGGAAAGTTGCGGCTGGTATTAGTCCGAAAAATTCCTCGGAGCACTCTCCATGATTTATGCGATAGAGAATGCAGAGTGAAGAAACATCTCTACGTAACGCCAGGGGATCGAGCCGATCGGAGATTGTTGGGCTATCGACGATTCGAATCGCTCTTCGTTGAAGCGAGAAGCTGGTACTGCATAGAGATGAGAACAGTATTCCATATGCGGCTGGACTTGCGCATTATAGAGTTGAAGGCGGTGGGCCGGCTTAAAATACTGCCTCGATCTGTTCAGCACACCGAGCTTCTTCGAGGCCAATTTGACCTTACCCTCTAAGTGACCCCGAAACTGGACTTGTCCGACCGACCGATATATCGATGCCTAGGATTCCGATGCTGGCAGTTAGGGAGGTGCTCTAAAACCGAAGTGTCTTCTTTGAGGCGAAAACACAGAACTTGTTTTTTTTTTGGGTTGAACTGTACTAGATTTAATCGGCCCCAATCTGAAACCTCCGCTAAGGAAGTTTTAGCATTAGAACCGGTGCCAACACCGGAGCACACGTCTTCTCACGATAGGAGATCGGACCCACACGAATTATGAATATCGAGGGAAAAGAGTGCTCTACGCACTGATTTTTGTGTGCACCGGATATCCGGCATATAGCTCTGGCACCGCGGTATGGTCGGCGGTACGTTTCCCCCGTCATCCAAAGTCGGGTTGGATGCAAAGTGCTTGACAAGGAGATCGGCTTTCTCCTTAGCATCATAGGACAACGAATTATCTCAAATCTGCAGGGGTGGAAAGGTTTGGCTACAGAAATTGCCCTGGACAGCCTTGGCAAGAGACCAGAAAGCACGGCTTCCAGAATATAGCCTCACCAGTCTATCACCGATCCGGCTGATGTGTTCCGATTTCGCCCTGGCAATGGCTCTTTTAAAGGACCTGGAGGCAAATTTATATTGTTTTTTTAGCGTGCTGGTATTTACGTCGCCTGCCGTCGCTGCATTTGCCCATGCTTGGTAGCATTCCCGCTTTCGGCGGGACGCCATTTTGCAGGATCTGTCGAACCAGGGCTTGGATCTGCCACCGAACGGAATTAATGTAGAAGTAACGAATAGTTCCATGCCCTAAAGTACTACATCAGTGACAGAATTGGCAACGACGGTGTGGCATCCGACATGAAACAGACCTGCCTCCATGAGTAGGACGCAAAGAAGGAGCGCATCCCATCGCAGTCCGCTGACCTATAGTGCCATACGTGGCGGAAGCCTGCACATGAGTGGCGCCGTACTCCGTATTAGGCAATGATCCGAAGAGCCAAGTGGGGTCACAACGATGACTTCATAGCCGCCCGGATCAGAAGTCAGCAGAAGGTCTAACAGTGAAGGCTCATGCACTGTTGCGACCTATTTCCATATCTATATTAATAAGCGAGGACAATTCTAAAAGCAAAATATATAAATGCACTGTGATTTCTTCACCTCTAAATGCGTTCCAGATAATATTATATCTTCAGTTTTTTTTTGTTTTAGACCATTATTGTAACTTTTACTTTAAACTTTTATTTAAACTCGTACTTACTGGCTATCATCGTCAATGGGTATGTTCCCGTGAAGGAACAGGTCGCTTCGCACTGTATAAACGTTACTCGTTGAACCTTCAGCATTTTCCACCTGAAATCAATAATCAATTATCAGTAGACTCCGTTTAGTAGTCAATCCTACGATGAGTGATCTTTCTCGTTGCTGGTCGCGGATACTTACTATTTCTTTAGATTTTGAATAACTCCAATATATGCCAGTTTATGCTGTACTGCATACTTATCTCAAGTTCAGTCAGGTGTGGGTAGTGTTGTATTTGTGGGCTGCCAGTTTTAGTTTTCTCGCAGTATTGCGTAGACTGAAGAGTCGGCTGTAACTTCTTTGCATGAGGGAGTTTACTTTTTGTTACGACTTTGGCTAAATGTGTCAGTAGTCAAGTCTTATTTCAAATTTTCGTTCCCTGACAGTATTCATCGCATAGGATACCCTCGGAATAAGCATAGGTGGTGGTTATTCTGCCACTATGCTTATGTTATTTCCGCGGATTCTAACAATACGTTATTGTACAAACAACAATAATAGTTTAGAAAACTGTTCAGCAAAAGAAAGAAGGGCAAATATATAATATATATTTCGTTCGGCTTATATACACTAACTATAAACGTTCAGAAACGAACACATTAAGGCTATTTAGACTTATTTTTGCTTGCAAGTACTTTAACTAAGGGTAATATTGTAACATTTTCGCAAATTATGTCTAAATATGCTACAGTACTTTTCTGGTACAATCTGTTTTGTTATGGAATGCGCTCCCTCTCGAGATCAGGATGGCAAAAACTCGACAAACCTTAAAACACCTGTTGCGGAAACATTTTTCAAACACCTCATTAGATCCATCTTATTTTTTTTTCTTTTTTTTTTTGTTTTACTTTCACTTCTAGGATTTATTATATGGATATATACACGGTGATTTTATAGGCGTTTTGGAAACGAAACATTTTAATTTGGAATCATCTATAGTACCAATAAAAATGGTTAAATCAATTGTAATGTTGATGTGTTTTAATATTCATTTTTACTCGATCGACTTGGAAGCAGCTGATAAAAGTATACCTATAGGCGCGAGCTAGCGAGTATTTACGTAGATAGACTCCAGTTTGTCCTTCATACTTTACACGGGCTTAGGACCGTCGAAAATACCTATTTTATTTTAACTTCTTTTCAATTATTAACCACGATTGTTCTTTTCACAACAAATCAATTTATCAACGGAATGTAGGTATAAACTAGCTGAGACCCGCGGTGTTACCCGCGTTTGTTGTTATAACCGCGGGCAACGCCGCGGGGCGAAGCTAGTCTAAAAAAGTAGCCTAAATTACTCCTTATGTCAGCAGCTATTTTGGCATATGTACCGTGTAAACATACATATGCATTTAGTAAAAAGCGGTTATTTTAATATTACAAACAGACACTCCAATTTTATTTATTTGTATAGATATTTCAGGCGTATTTAAAAAATCGGAGCTATCTACAGAATAATTAACTTACATACCTATTTACAGTTTATTTACACTTCTCTGTATCGAAGCAACTGCTCAAAATGGAGTACGCTGCGTTCAATACACTAACGTCCACGTTTAATGCAATTGTTTTTTAATTTTCATAATGTGTCTCTATCACTTTTCACTTATCAAAAGCGTCCACTATCGCAATGCGTAAATCATCACGGCTTTCATATTCCCGTGTATAAACAAGTCTTTTTATTTCCGACCATAAGAAAAAATCCAGGGGCGTTAAGTCCCGCAGAACGAACTCCGTCCTCCATAAGCGCAGGTCTGGGGGTGACAGGTGAGGCCATCTGTCACCCTAGCAGAAGCAGGCCAGGGTGGCGGCGAGCGCGTTGCGAAGCGCGCTCGCTTCCAGGGAGCACAGGGAACATGGGGTTTCCACACGGGGGGGGGGGGGGGGTCGTCTACTCGTCTGTAGATGACCCGAGGTATGTCGGGGCACCAGGGACTTCCTTTCTAGGGTATACCTGGTTGACCGGCTATTAGTACCCGAGACGGCGTGGTTTTAGTCGGTTCGAGTCCGACATGCCACCGAAAGGTGGTATCCGAGGGGTTTCCGCACGAAAAAAAAAAAAAAAAAAAAAAGGGGGCGTTACAGTTAAACCGCCGTAAGCTTGGCCCTCCTGATGGTTTGCGGGACGCGGGGCGGGTGATGCGCTCGGCTATACATGACACGATGTACTAACTCGATATCTTCAGATTTATTTGTTTGAGATCTAATCTACACACGATGTAATAAAAATCAAATTTATTCCCATGTATTATAATGTCAGTGTATTGTAAGTTTTTATGATTAATTGTAAAATTTAATACTGTAAAATAATTTTAATAAAATCACCTTATCTTCATCATGTAAATTATATTCAGATACAATTTAAAAATTAAGTAAAATAATAAATATTCTTTATTAGAACTTTAACAGTAGAACCTCTGTAAGCCGAACTTCAAGTTTTTAAATCTTTTTGTGACGCAGAGTCGGCAGATTATCCGTGTTGCAAAATAATACCGTGTGTAGCAGTCTTAAGAAAAATAACACGTACAGCCATACTTTCACGTCAGTCACTGCCGCCAGACAGCGACGCACTAGCTAATTGGTTGAATGCACCCCCGCCCCGCGTCCCCCAAACCATCAGGAGGGCCAAGCTTACGGCGGTTTAACTATAAATCCGGGCTTCTAGATGGCAAAGGCACAGGCCCTCCTCGACCTATCCACCGATCACTAAACTCATTGTCCAGGTATGCACGCACTACACTTTAATAACGGTATCAAGGTTAATTAGAGCCCAGTAATGCTCATTGTGTTGTATAGTCCCACTCGAGTAAACAGTGACTCGTCCGTCCAGAGTATGTTGGCGTTTGTATTATTTAACAACCACTTTCAAAAGGCGATTCTTGCCGGTGCGTCAGTGTTGTTTATTACGTGAGCCTTACGAAAATGATACGGATGTAATCCTTGTGTACGTAATATCTTCCATACGAAGTTTTGGCTAACATCGAATTCTCGTGCTGCCATCCTTGTGCTCCGCCGGGGATCGCGCTCGAAGTACTCAAGAACATCTTCTTCAAACTCCGGCGAATAATAATTTAAACGTCCTTGACCATGCGCATGAGTAGGCGCACGAAATTGTCCGTGGTCGAGAAGACGTTGGGTTGCAGCCAAGATGGTAAGTGTGGAGGGAATTTGAGGTCTTTCAATTCCACGTAGCCGTAGTGCATTTAAATGCTCCGGCTTTGAATGCAAACGCCGAGCCTCTTCCAAGTTGTAGTTGGCAGTAGCGTACAGATGTACCATTGCCAAGTACTCCAAGTACGTTTGAAAATTCGTACTGTCGACTCATTTTAGCGCTAATCAATGTAGCGTGCCGTCACGATGTTATGGTATTACTGACCGACTGAAAGCGAAGGACGCCTCACGGTTACAGGAGTCCCGCGCATGCGCCTACGGGGCATACGACTCAGTGCAATGCCGTCATTGGTTGGACGACTCCGGTGCAACTCGGTAGCTTTGTTTTTATTGGCGAATACGATTTTAAGTGACTCGATATTAAAACGCATAGTATTTCTATTTGTAGTATTTACCTAGATTGAATAGCGCTACTACTGGTTCTCACTTTTTCTCTGTAAACGATATGAATATTGACTTTGATGAAAAAAAATTTTTTTTTTATTAAATTAACGTTATATATAGCTTCTGTTATTGATAAATAATTCAAAATTTTATGTTCCAAAACGCTTTCAAAATCACCGTGTATATATGTATGTATATATATATATGTGTATATATATATAATATAATTATATATATGTATAGGTGCATATGGATATATAAATGCTTATGTATTGTATGTGTTAGTATTATTATCACTTATTGTATATGTATTTTTTTTTGTTAATATTCTAATGTAGTTAATATGGTATATGATATCCTATATGTGCTATATTTTTTCTTAAAATCACGTTTTTAATTTATTTTGTGCATCTACCATGTTTTGGCTCTGCATCGCCCTATGGTTGACTGGGAGAAAATGCCTACGGCATTAAGTCCGCCTTTGTCACATTTGTGCATAAAGTGTAAAATAAATAAATAAATATGGAGCAACACGCAAGCGACGTAAGTGTACGGTGAAGTGAGGGAGACTCACGTGCACGTCGTCGTCCAGCACGTAGGCGGGCGGCGGTGAGGCCTTGCGCGGCGCCAGCGGCCACGTGCAGTGCGTGCGCGCCGCGTGCCATTCCGCCTCGCCCTCCGGGACCACGCTCACCTAGCGTTACGACAAACACTTTTCAATGGTTGTATTGCCTCTATAGCCTTCCACGATCCTTGGAAAATGTGTGATGTGTATATAAACATATATAATGTAATTTACAATATTTCAATCGAATAAAGAATCTATCTATACGTCTATAATATAGATCACGCTGAAGTATATTTATCATGATGATGTGATATCACGGTAAGCATATAAGTGTAGCGTTTATTTTATCCGTTCCCTAAAATAATTTAGGAAATCACTTACCAAATACATATTTTCAGCGGTGACTTCTTCGCTCGCGACCTGATCTGAGACAGCAAGGGAGACACTTTCGTTTTCATCCTTTCTGTGAACTTTCTTCATGTGCATGTACAGAGTGCTCATGTTTGTAAAAGATTGTTCACATCCTATAAATAAACGTCATCGGTAAATAAATTAAGCAGAAGGATAAAAGTGGATTAATTAATTTAGATTCGGGTACTAGTGTCGTGACGAGAAAAGAAGGAGAACGCGCACTTTTGTCTTGAATGCAAGGGGGTTTGTGGACGCAAGGTTACGCATCGGAGAGATAGCTATACGTATATACCTGGGTGCGCGCAGCGGTGCGGCGCGCGCGCGGCGGGCAGGTGGTGGCGCGCCACGTGGTCGCGCAGGTGCTCGCGCCGCAGGAAGGCGCGCCCGCACGCCGCGCACGCGTGGCGCCGCTCGCCCGTGTGGCGCCGCGCGTGCCGCACCAGCTTACTCGCGGAACGAAACGCCCAGCCGCACTCCTGTCATACACCACACCATACTTGTACGATTTTAAATTGGCCATTACGTTTCAGTAAAAGCCTGCCGAGCCGTAGACCTAACCCTACAGAGGGAGCCTCTGTGACTGATTCCGATACTTCATTTTGAAAAGTGATGTTGGGAGGGGAACGAGCGAGGACGAGTACTCCATGTCTCTTCTTGTGACAGAATATGGTGTGTATTTTAGTTGTTTTAATTTCGTATGTTGTTTTGTATTGCGATTTGGAGGCATCGGACATTTTGAGAATTAGAAATTTCGGGAAGTGGACTTTCTAAACGCGAACGCTTCTCGGGTCGTCACCCAATAGGGAATATGCACGTGACAACAAAATGGACAAAATATTTTTATTTGTAATTTTTATTGCTAAAAAAAGATACCCATACAATTATTTTTGAAATTTATTATAATTTAATAGTGAAATTTAATCATCAAAAATTGGCTTTTTTATGATTCCCTCGTAAATTTCTAAAACGCAACGCTATTGGTTGAATAAAACGTGACGTCAACCTACACTGTCAAGAGTGTCAACAAGTTGTGTGTATTTGTAATATTTGGTTTCTGATGATTAATTGTTTGACATCTTTGACATCGAATTCGTCTGAAAGTGTAATCTGACGTCACAAAAAAAGCGCGCCAAAATGGACGTGTTCAAATTGCCACAAAATGATAGTGATTTTAATAAAAAAAAATCGCTTAACGGTTTATATTTCGGATGTGTTATATTTATTTTTGGTAATGTAATAACTAGTAGAATCGTTTAAAAAAATAAAAAAAATACATGCATATTCCCTATTGAGGCTTAAAACCCTACCTTATAGTAATATTCCATTCAAACTAATCGAGATCAAAAAATAAATATTAACCTACTGCAGACACAAATACTTAAGCTCTGCAGTTAACTTTTTTTTACATTTTACTGTTTTTCACCACTGTCATCGTCATCATCATCATCAGCCTATCGCAGTCCACTGCTGGACATAGGCCTCTCCCATTGCACGCCACTTAGATCGATTTTGGGCTTCTCGCATCCAGTTCCTGCCAGCCATCCTGCGCAAATCGTCACTCCACCTGGCCTGTGGGCGTCCTACACTACGTTTGCCGAGACGTGGTCTCCACTCAAGAACTCGTTTTCCCCAACGGTTATCGGTTCTGCGGCTAATATGGCCAGCCCACTGCCACTTCAGCTTGCTGATCCGGTACGCTATGTCGGTGACCTTAGTTCTCTGCCGGATCACCTCATTTCTGATGCGATCCCTTAGAGAAACGCCGAGCATAGCCCTTTCCATAGCACGTTGAGCGACTTTAAACTTGTGGACCAGCCGTACCGTAAGTGTCCACGTTTCAGCTCCGTATGTCATGACGGTTAGGACGCACTCATTAAAGACTTTCGTCTTAAGACACTGTGGGATCGACGATGAGAAGACTCGACGTAGCTTCCCAAACGCTGCCCAACCCAACCGAATTCTTCTGTTCACCTCGTCCTCGAAGTTGTTTCTACCTAACTGCAATGTCTGCCCGAGGTACACATAATTTTGAACAACTTCGAGAACAGCACCGTGTACCGCAATCGGTTCCGGTAGTACATATTCGTTGAACATGACCTTGGTTTTATCCAAGTTCATCCGTAGGCCGATGCGTACAGAAGTGTCAGCTAAGTCATTCAGCATTTGCTGTAGGTCCTGCAACGTCTCTGCCATGATGACGATGTCATCTGCAAATCGCAAGTGAGAGATGTATTCGCCATTGATATTGATGCCACGCCCTTTCCAGTGCAGCGTCTTGAACATGTCCTCCATTGCATTTGTGAACAATTTCGGGGAAATAACGTCCCCTTGTCTCACTCCTCGATGCAATGGTACGGGCCTTGTTTGCTGATTCTGTACTTGGACGGACATGGTGGCGGCTTCGTAGAGACATCTCATCACTTGGATGTATCGCCAATCTACTTGGCAACGCTGCAGGGACTCCAGAACAGACCAGATCTCGATCGAGTCAAAGGCTTTCTCATAGTCCACGAATGCTAGACACAGGGGCTGATTATATTCTTCGGTCTTCTGTATAATCTGCCGCACTGTGTGGATGTGGTCTATGGTGCCATATCCGCTCCGAAACCCAGCTTGCTCCGGTGGTTGGAATTCGTCGAGTCTTTGCGCAAGACGGTTCGTGATGACTCTCGAAAACAGCTTGTAGACGTGGCTTAGAAGGGATATGGGTCGATAGTTCTTCAACCTGGTCTTGTCACCCTTTTTGAAGAACAAGACGACCACACTCCTACTCCACGCTTCTGGAGTTCTCCCTTCGAACAGGACAGCGTTGAAGAGCTTTTGGAGCTCCCTTAGTACGGGTTTACCCCCGGCCTTCAGCAGCTCTGTTGTAACGCCATCCTCTCCAGGGGCTTTTCCATTTTTCAGCTGTCCAAGAGCCATCTCGATTTCGTCAATGCTAACTTCTGGCAGGTCTTCGGTGTAGTGACGTGTTAATGTGGCTCTAGGGTCCTCATTTTCGGGATCAGGTCGAGATGCATGCGAAGCGTATAACCGGCCATAGAAGCTTTCCACTTCCAAAAGGACTGCCGGCTTCGAAGCAACGACTTCTCCACTTTCTGTAGTCAACTTTGTCAGGTGGCTTCTTCCAAGAGATTGTACGAACACTTTTGACCCCCGATTTTGCTCGATCGCTCTTTCAATTGAAAGAGTATTGGAGCACCGGAGGTCGTGTCGTACGAGTTTACTGATCTCTCGGTTTAGAGTCCGCTTTGCCGACAAAGTGACAGGTGGGTTTTCACGTCGTTTCTTCATCAGCCCTAGGGTCCTTTCTGAAAGCTTCGACTTCCTGCCCTTACGCTGCATTTCACAAAATCTCATACCTTCTTCCCTGAGGATCCGGACCACATTTTTGAGGTTCTGGTGTACGTCGATTGTGGTTTCCACGGCAGCGAATCGGTTTTCCAGTTTTGTCTGGAACGTTTCAGATCCTGTCATGGCTTGGAGCCGAGTTGGTCGGAGCCTGGATTTCATCAAACAGGCACGTTCCGCCTTAAAGTTGATATTCAGAGAGCCCCGGACAAGTCGGTGATCACTACCGGTATTAAACCTATTGATCACTGAGACGTCTCTGAATATGTGCTTTCTATCCGTCATGATGAAATCGATCTCATTTCTAGTCATAGCGTCGGGGCTTTGCCACGTCCACTTCCTTTGGGGCCGTTTCTTGAAGAAAGAATTCATCAAAAACAGCCCCTCCCGTTCGAGGAAGTTGACCAGCATTTGCCCCCTATGATTCCTGCTTCCAAATCCATGGGATCCTACTACCGATTCGCCGCAATTCTGTACTCCCACTTTAGCGTTGAAGTCACCCATAACAACGTTGTAGTGGGTCTTAGTTGTGAAGTGGAGGGCCCTCGATATGTCATCGTACATATCCTCCACCTCGTCGTCCGAATGTGCCGAGGTCGGTGCGTACACTTGCACAACCTTGAGGCTATACCTCTCGGTGAGCTTGATAATGAGGTACGCTACCCTGTTCGACACACTGGAAATTTCTACAACGTTGTCAGATAGGGACCCACCACTGTATAAAAAATTATTTATAATTTATTACTTGTAAATAGTACATGAAATAAACTAAAACTGAATAGATATTTTGTAACTATTACTCTTTAAAATAAGTATCAAACAAACCCAAAAATTATTATTTACAACGTGAAGCGCATACCTAATGCGCTTCACGTTGAAATAAGAACCTTGATTTGTAACACCTTCAAGAGAAACTTATTTGGCTGAGTATTGGATTTTAATTACAATTCCACATTTTTCTGAGAAAAAGGTCTCAACGGACACATAAAGCGGGTAACATACGGGGTATCTGCAGTGATAGGGGCGGTCCCCCGTGTGCGCGCGCGCGTGCTCCCGCAGGCGGCAGGGCAGGCGGAACACGCGCGTGCAGCCCGGCCACGCGCACGCCAGCCCGCCGCGAGCGCACACCGACTGCGCGTGCGCGCGCAGCCCTGACGCCCAGAAGAAGCGGCGTCCGCACACTTCACACCTAAACGAAGGTACATACGTTAGTCGCTGCACATTTTGGTCAGTATTTCTAAACACGGGCTGCTTATGAGGTCACAAAGCGTCTAGAAATCTAATGTCAAGGTGATGACAACCATTTGTCCTTCATGAAACATATGATTTTACAACTAAGATGCATTTTTAATATTCAAAGTGTTAAATACTTGACTTTGTAGTTCAGTTTTACGAGATTCGCAAAGACAAAAGCTTAGCAATAAACACTTGTCATTGTTTTTCAATTGCAAATACGAATGCAAATAATTTAAATCATTCGATACATAACAAGAATTAAAAAATCATGCCACCAAAAAGACGTAATACATTCTTGACAATACTCAATTCATACTCAGAAAATTAATATACAAGTCTAAATATCAAACAGGCCCCGAAGCTGGCACCCGCTGTGTCTTACCTATGAAGAGCATCTTCAGGGGTGTGATCTGTATTGAGATGCTTCAGAAGCTCTCTCCTAACTTGAAATGTGCATGGGCACTTTTCTTCAACTCCATCACTATGCACTTTCTTTACAGGACACTCTATTGTCATTTGACTCGGAGGCCTGACAGTTGTTTGTCTATTGTGCGAATTTTTATGTTTTCTCAGCCTTTCTTCAGTCCAAAAGCCCTTATTGCAATTAACTTCATCACACTAAAAATTAAAACAAACCCCTTAGTTGGAAGTTTAAAGCACAATGTTAATGATTAACCAAAGAACGATTTTTATTGCATTCAGATCAGACAGAAAAAGTTATGTGGCACTTTTTAAAGTTAAATAGTAGTTTATTGATTACAAACAAAAAATTATATAAATATTTATTATTTGTTTATAAAAATTGTACTTGTACCTTAAACTTAACTGCTCTATTAGATATCAGCTCGACAGATACAGTTCGAGTTGGGGTTGTCGTAATAACTTCATGCGGTTGTTTTGGTAACGGATTAACAGAAGTTAGAATTACAGAAGGCATTTCTTCTACCACAAAATGTGACTTTTCTTCAGTGTCAGCCAACTGGTTTACACTATCTGTAATCATCGATAAATAAACGAAAACTTTTATCAAAAGTAGGTAGGAGAAATAAGAATGAGTTCAAATACAAACTGTTGATTTGCAATGTTACGAATATAAATCGACAGCTTGTATTTCAAGACCGCAGAACTAATAGACCTCAAATTCGATTTATGAATTTACAATTTTTTTACATAGGTAATAACACACTATTATACTTGCATTATATTATCTACCACACCTGTAATCTAAGAAAACACTGATGAAATCTATATATTCTCTACTCTCTAAATATACGTATTTTCAAGACAACTTAGCAAATGGAGTGATGTACATTTTTTACATTTAAAAGTTTTTGTGCATGGAGGCAGAAAACTGATATTATTTAATAATATTATATTTCATATTTAAATGCTAGGTGAAAACGACAACATCAAGTTACATGCGCTCATTGCATGGAACAGTTCAACTTACACTGCCCCATGAAATAAACATAGAATCAAACCCTAATTGTAGAACTGAAAAAACAGTTTACTTTTATTATGTGATAAGTATAATTATAATAAAAATACTTACAATTTTGAATCTTAACATCATTATTATGAAGGTCGAAACACCATTCTGGTTTAGGCTGAATCTCATTCTTTACAGTATACACCATCTCATCAATGTTATCCAAAGACATACTCTGTAAAGGAATATATATCAAATTTTATCCATATTACATTTGCAAATTAAAACCCAGAGAAGCGACTGGTGTTTTTAACGCATATAACTGATAATGGTTTTCTATAGTTCCTTCACAATTATGAGAAAACATACTAACTTTTAAACTTTTAAACTTTCGCGTTCCATGATAATTAATATTATTTAACGGGAATTAAAACATGTGAAAAACATGTGTAGTATGTGCTAAAATGGTGTTTGTCTTTGAAGCAAAGCATTAACACGTTTGAAATTAAATATGAATATAAAATGATGTACCTGTTTCAAGAGCTTATTATTTACAAATGATGCTATATTGAATGTACTTTCTTCATTACTTTTATCCACACCTGTGAAAATATAGATTTAATTTTTTAATAAAAGCAAAGTCAAATTCAACTGTAGGAACAATGTGTAGCTTAGTTTCTGAAAATTATTTTACTAATATACACTTTTGTGTAGGATGAATAGGGGTAGTGACACTATATTCTTATTTTATCACCACACAGGTGACCTTGTTTAGTAGAATTAAAACAAAACTTACCACCGATTGGTGCTATGAAGCTAGAAGCAGTTGTATATTTAAATATATTGGCTTCAATATCAGTCTCCTTTGATGTATTCATATCACTCTTGTCTACATTATTATTGGCTACAGAAAATTTTAGTAGAGAAGTTTTAGTTACGGTTGGTTGCGAGCTTACGTCAAATTTAAGGGTTTCACAGGCAGATATGCTTGGTTTGTTAACATGGAGCGAACTGGTGACTAGAGATTTTGTTCCCAGAGATTCATTTACAGTAGATATGTTTGGTGTTGTGCCTGAAATCTTAGGTTTTCTCCTGAGAATATTTGGTTTTTGAAAAGTTTTCTTGCCCACATTTTTTTCTTGTGACACAAACATAGCTTTTATTTTCTTTTCTTCATTGGGAGAACTGAAATTGTAAGATAATTTACAATACACTTAAGAAAACAAAAAGTTAAGTAAAATCAAATATATCACGGAAGAAAACTTAATAATCCAATGAAAAATTCCAATGTTTATATGATGGTACACTAGTGGAATGGTAACTCAATTTTTCTAAAAACTAACATTAATTAGTAAATTAGGGCATGCTACTGAGATTTGTAAGGTCACCATTATGTGTCAAAACTACCCCTTCACATGGCATTAAGGGTCATAGTTATGCATAGCGACATCTGAATATCACCTAGTATTATTTTTGGCATGTGTACCAACAGATTGCTGTAGGTCAGGTTATTTATAGAAAATGTTGACTCTGAAAGAGTAAAAAGAAGGCTAAATAATATAGAAACTGATTAGAAGATTAAGAAGGTATTTTCACATGCTAACAAGGGAATTTTTCTATCAATGTGTAACTCAGAATAAAAATCCGTTGGTATATTGATGAATACTTCTGGATTATGCATGACAATATACATGTTAGAAACACTTGTAATAATGTCTACTTGCATAAACTGTAGGTATGAAATAAGATAAGTTTTAAGTGTTACAATATGTGCATATTGTTTCCCTAATTAAGAAAATCATTGTTTTATATGTTCAGCCGCTTTTCAAAGTAAAACATGGTCAAGTGTGAGTCCTATTATGTTTAAAATCGTTATCATATAGTTCTTAAATTGATAGTTGTTCTGATTTCATTTCAACAAAACCTCAGTACCTGCAGTATTACAATCTGCTTTTATTTTCGTGGTAACATTTTACTATATTTACTTAAACCCCTTTTTTGTGGTGGAGAAAATATCAAATGATAACGAAACAACTTATTGGTTGTCTACTCATGAAAAAGTCCTAAAAATACCTCCTGAATATTTAGGTGCAAATATACCAAAAGTTACCTTAAAGTAACACGACTATGAGTTTATATTTACTAAACAAATTAAATTTCTATGTAAAAATAACGCTTTTCTGAATAAGTCACAGAAACATTCCAATATGTATGAAACAGCTATACGACTGATAACAAAGCAGCTCAAGTAAATTTAAACATGTCAAATGAAAATATATTGGTATAATATGACAAAACTTACTATTTTAAACTATTCCTTTATAGTACAGAGTAAAAATACGAATTCTTTTTCTTCCATCTATATTACATTAATTCACATCACAGTACAATGCGCATAGTATTACTATACTGTGTGAGTGAGTGCGCTTACTTACAGTGAGAACACCAATACAGCCCGCCCGCCGACATCTAAATGTTTTTTATAGAACTTTGTTTAGCTATTGCTCTTTTAGCTTCTAATATTCAACAGTCGACTAAAATAAAGACATTACTACAAACTCTAACAAAGCATTCATATTTTTAACAAGACGTCGAGTTGTTAAAATACAAATTTCACTTGAAAATTATTGTTGTTAAGAAATAATATAATTTAATATATAATAATAATTTAATTATGATATTTTTTTACTGATTGCAGCTCCATCCACATTTGGAAAAGGGGGGGAATCCCAACTGTTTAATAAGACAGTTACACGTAATTTTTCATAAAAACTACTTCGCATACGAAAATATTGTAAAGTATAGACATTAATGAATTATAAATTGAGATAGTCACAATATTTAGCTAGAGTCTGGATAACGAAAATTGAATTAAGCAAAACTCGAGAAAAATAAAAAATAAATGGTAAGGCAAAATACTTTCATATTTCATAAATATTATTTACTAGCTTTTGCCCGCTGCTCGCCCTTTAGCCTGAGGTGTGTGTTTATATTAATCTATATAGTACCTAAAAGTAATCTATATTACTCGCTGATAAGCTTTCTACTGGTAAAATAATTTCTAAAATTTGTTAAGTGGTTAAGACGTAAAAACGTAAGAAACAAACAACCTCACTTTCACATTAAAACATAAGTGTGGATTGTAAAAAAATGAGTAGCAGGAAAATGTATTATCAAAAGTTCCTGTGATTACTTTGATTTTATAACCTCAATTTTACAAAATAGTTGCGTAAAAAGTAAGGTGAACTGCAACCGTAAAAGCATGAAATAGGTCATCTTGACATAAATGGATCAAGATAGACTTTAGTTGACTTCATTAGTATTTATAAAAAATGAAAAAAAGTTATATGTATTTAGTAGTGTACTCAATACATAAAACATTTTTCATCAGTGTCAGGACAAGCTGTAATTTAAGAGTTGCCTTACTTATTGTTTTGTAGATTCTGACAAGCGGAGATCTGTCGCCGTATGTACATGCTTCTTGCTACATGCGATATATATATATAGATCCTAAAGGTCTAATAAGAATATATCTCACTCATCTCACGCACGGCCATCTGGCACACGGCATCCCAAACTAAGCAGAGCCTGTGCTATGGTAACCAGACTGCTGATAAACCCACCACCAACAGCCTATAACAGTCCACTGCTGGACATAGGCCTCTCCTTAGAAAGGAGGTTTTGGCCTACTATACCACGCTGGCCAAACGAGTTGGTATAGGGTTTTGTTTCAAGTTTTCCTTCTCTTAGCAGTGCTGTCGTCCTGCGTAGTTTGCTCCCTTAGTCGGTGGTGACATTCCGTATTCTTAATCCGTCACCACACGGACAACCAGACTGCTGATAAACATACTTAGGTATGTATTTTTAAATGGGTGTCTGGGAGTAATTTTATGAATAAATTACTCCCAGACACAGAACAAATGGTCATTTGTTCTGTGTCTGCTCATCACACAATATTTGGCCTGGGTGGGAATTGAACCCACGATCTCCGGCTTAGCAGTCAAGGTTACTAACCACTAGACCTAAAGGCCTGTCAGAATCAGAGGAAATGATAAATTAACTAATCAATTTTATTCACTGTAATCCAAAACCATACGTTCTGTTTAAGTTTAAAGTCATTTTTAATCTTATCATCATCATCAGCCTCTCCCATTGCATGCCACTTAGATCGACTTTCGGCTTTGAAAAACATATGCTTTAGCTTAAATCTGTCAGAAGGCTTCTCAGTGTAAGCATTTGTTTATACTATTATACTAACTTACCATACCTTTACTTTGTTAAAGCATAAATTAAAAATAAGTAATCAATTTCACTAAGAACTTAATAAGTACAAGTTCAAAATTAATCAAAATATAAAAATTGAATTCGCTTAGTTTGTGGCAACTTTACATTTTTAACTGCTATATCTGGCACCACCAGCACTATTGTTAAACTGACATTGACATAAAAATAAAGTGCAGTGCATGACATAACCTATCTAAACCTTGCAGGCTAAAATGCGAATTAGTTAATTAAAAATATATTACAACTTAAGTATAAAATACTGTGATATGCATATATAAATTTTATAGCTATGTGACTTTCACTACTTTCGAATACAATTCAAAATTATATGATTACATGATGGCAGTAACTGATATTTTAAAAGATTTTGATGATCTTACTGAACCGGCATGTATGGACAAAATACTCATGTATTTGGAGGAACTTAAAGAAGAAGATGACGCATTCATGGAGGTAATAGAACAGAAAATAATAACATTAGTTTTCAATTTTTGTGAAACTTAGGCATTTTCCGTAATTTACCTACCTTTTAGGACAGGTTTTTTATATACAATAACAAGAAGTCATCCCACTATAAGTAATGATAGATATCAAGTGTTGATTATTTAATCCTGAATGTATTGGCTTTTTATATTTTTTTTTATATATCTGTATGTGAAGATCCAACATTGTGTTGATAAGTTTCCAATATGGCTGAAGGGAAACAAATAACAATACAGCTGTTGCTATATTATATTGCAGGGAAGCATTAATTCTACTTACTTCTGCTACTAGGGTGTTTCCATACCCATTTGTGTATAATACATATAAAATTGTTTTAGTTACTTGTAGAAAAATTAGCACGCGAAGAAATTACATGGGAACAGCCTTGGTACCAACAAACAAACTCTGTGTCACGACCTTTAAAAGAAAACAATGAAAAACATAAAGAAACATATAAAACTGATACAATTTGCAAAGCAGAAAATGACATAATAATCAAGAATTGGAAGGATTTTATACATGAATATGATGTACCAGATAAAATAATATGCTTAGCACGTTGGAAAAATAAAGTGAAAAGTAGATTACCTAATACACCTGAAGAAAGTGCCAGACGTTTTCTTATTTCATATTTGGCTCGAGGGTTACAAAGAACCACCTTTCAAGTATTCAGACATATTCAAACATATTTTGGAGGACCTGTAAAAGGGGCTTATTCAGCTGAGGAAGAAAAAATTATGAATGTTTGTTTTACACATCACCCAAACCATGCTGTTACCCTGTTATCTATGGTTTTAGGAAGAGAACCTCGAGGTATATACAAAAGACTGCAACAGCTGTATAATGGTATGTTTTATGTAACATAAAAGGATCTTATATTTTTATTATTATATCATTATCAGTCTATTGCCATCCACTGCTAAATGAAAGCCCAAGGAACGCCAACTATCCCAGTCTTGGCAGTCTGCATCCATTTACTCAGATAAAAATCTGTAATTAAAGGTACATACAATGTCAAAATCATCAGACCTATTACTGGCTGTAATTATGGCATTAAAGTGATGCGGTGAATAAACTATTGACTTCCAGGAGATCCCTGTCTCCATTTCAGGAAACGGTGTGAGTGTCATGCTTCCCATCTTAAGAAGGGAGCACAAGATATAATATTGATATCTACTTTAAACTATTAATTGGATAATGGACATCTCTAGGCTTCAGCATTGAGACTCCTGGATTTATAGTTCACTAAAAAGTTCCCAATCCATTATTTGCACTCTTCAATGACATTTATTGTTTGTGTTAGGATAAGTCAAGCTGGGAACCCATACCATAAAAAAATTATACAACTTATCCCTCTTGCTAATCTAAAAAACAAACTTTATAGTATTTTAAAAATTCATTCAAATTAGTTTAATTAATATAGAAGTAGAAAAGTTGCATTTTATACAATAATTCCAGGAAAACCGGAGAGGAAGAAAATCAGATGGACTATACCAGTGGCATCCAAGCTTCTTAAGCTGTTAATGAAATATACAGGATTGCCTTTGGAAGAATTAAAAAATAAAAGATTTGACAAGGAAGTGTGGGTAAAAATTGCAGAGGAGTTTGATCATCATTATATTCATATTCAGAAGTTTTGGTATAGTAGTCTTCATGTTCAATTGTTTGTTAAAAGTAATGTGAAATTAAATAAATTGAGGAAGAAAATATTTAAAAAGTAGGTTCTTTTTATATTACTTGTCCTTAAATAACTGGCAAAAAACTACTTTATATTGATGTTTGATTTTCTTAACTTTCAGACTTAAGTTGACATCATATCAAATCTGGAGTGATATTCGATGGAAAGATGTAGTACAACAATTTCCTGATGAATATACACATTATTTTATATACAAAATAAGCTATGGACCCATACATACGAAACCAAAATACCACAAGGAACCACTACCAGAGGTTTTAGATTATGGTTTGAAGAGACTTAAACACTATCGTAAACTTCGTTTGCGCACCCTTGCGTTAAATAAAGAAGGAGACTTGGAACAAGTTATATATGATAAGTCAAATAATAAATCTTAAAAAAACTTAGCTGTTTTCATTACTATGGGAAAGGCCCAAATCATAATTCATACAGGGTTTTATTTGTAATAAGTTCAAGAACGCAAGATAATGTCAAACTGCCTATACTTAGGCACTTGTGAATAAAGCGTACCAAGGTGATTCTGTTAACTATTTGGGCTCGAAGCCTCGAAGCTCTGAGGCCGTAATACACCTCTTCACTTATTACTTAAAGCAATGCATTACCAAGAACACCATTCCTTTTTTTAATTTCACATACCTACATATACGTATACAATGTTGTTTCAGAAAGCAAAGCATATTATTATGCCTATAGTTTTTTGGTCAATAAAAAGTAAATACAGACTTGGGTAAATTAAATCACTTCTCACCGAGTTGCTTAGAATAGGGTCAATTTTAATCGGGATACCTAAATAAAAAAAAAACTTTTGGCCTAATATAACTAAAATTGCTTCCACACAACATGGGGCGGTTACACTAGTCCCTACCAGCTGTCCCTCTTGGTGACGACAAGTGGATTTTTTTCCACTCTTACCTACCACATCGTCACTGGTTGGTATAAGTGGAATTTCATTTCTACTTATCAATACAATCAATTCAATACACAAAAAGTTTTTATTTTTGATTGTTGTTTGATTGTGTTGTCTCAGTTCCCAACGTAATCACAGAACGTAATGAACGTAGTCGTAAAAGGTCGAGGATAGCTGAAACATGTAACCATAGAATAGTAGACCTCAATCTGCAATATAATCGTCTAGAAGTCCTTCTTCCAAATTCGTGCGGAAATTGTGACTGCTCAATAGGGAATATGCATGTATTTTTTTTATTTTTTTAAACCATTCTACTAGTTATAACATAACCAAAAATAAATATAACACATCCGAAATATAAACCGTTAAGCAAAAAAAAAATTATTAAAATCACTATCATTTTGGGGCAATTTGAACACGTCCATTCTGGCGCGCTTTTTTTGTGACGTCAGATTACACTGTCAGACGAATTCGATGTCAACAACGGAGTGAAGTTCACAAAGTTTCTGAAAGTTAAAAAAGTGAGTGATAAAAATTAACTTATTACCATGGAAAAGCCAATAAAAACTTATTATAAATATTGTGCCGTTCCTTTGTGCCCAAACAATATCAAAACTGCACCTGACAAAGTATATTTCCTTATGCCGAAAGATCAAGGTATAAGAAGAAACTGGTGTAAAGCGATGAAAAAAGACAATGTATCGTGGTTGAGCTGTTTATACTGTTGTGAAGATCATTTTAACGTAAGTAAGGATATTAAGAAAGTAATAAAATACATATTAGAATCTTTTAAACTTAGTTAACTGCACTTGTTTACAAAAAAACATAACCTAGTTTAAAGATATTCTCAATATATAATACAAAGGTATCCATATGAATAAAAACATTTAAGAGATTAGAGTAAGAGGAAAGTTCGAAACTACTTTTATTCATCTTTCTATTTATATCTGGGTTTCAGATTGAAAAGGACACAGTAAATTATATGCAATATAAATTAATGGCTTTAGAACATGGACAAAAAGTTACACTCAAATTAAAAAAAGGAGTAGTACCATACATATTCCAGTGTCAGAAAAAAGATAACTTGTGGCCACCACCAGAGAGAAAGGGTGCTATAAAAAGGAAGCGACAAGCACTGGTTCAAGAGGCTCTAGCTGAAGCTGCCCTAACTGAAGCTTATCTACGAAAAGCAGGTCCCAGTACAGCATCAATATCTGAAGCTGATCTATTAGCAGCAGGTCCCAGTACAGCATCAATATCTGAAGCCGATATACTAGCAGCAGGTCCCAGTACAGCATCAATATCTGAAGCCGATCTATTGGCAGCAGGTCCCAGTACAGCTTCAGTACCATACCATATACCAAATATAGAACTAAAAATTTCTGACAATAAAACAGATGGGGAAGCTGTTTCTAATATCTTATCAAAGGCACATAGTACAGATATGTTGCAGTTTGACAAAGCTGTGCAAGTTAATTGTAAAGTTCCTTATAGAAGCAAAGGTGTCAATGTGAATTTATCAGTAAAGAAAAATAACATAGCATTATCTCCGTTTTCTATATCATCTAGGAATACATCAACATCACCCTTAAAATCTGCACATTCTTCTATAAAAAGAAAATTATTTACAGACAACCCCGCTGACAGTGCTTCTCTTACAAGTGTTAATTCACAGTACTCAGTAATATCAACTGATTATGAACCAGAGCGTAGTTCATCTGATTCAAGTTGGCTAATTGAAGATGAATTAGACAGTGACATACAATTTAAGAACCTAATGCGTAGTGGCACATTGATTGCCATAGAAAAGGAACCAAAAATGTTCTTAGGTTTACCAAAAAAAACTTATTACTTAATAAAACTATTAAGTGATAATATTCCGCTTGCCACTATAGATATTTTAATTACATTAAGGAAAATAAAATTAAATGAATCTTTTAGTTTATTAGCAGTTAACTTTGGGTATTCACAGAGCACAATCAGCAGAATATTTTCAAAAAGTATAGTACCCATTTCAGAGAAAATGAAAGAGTTGATAATTTGGCCAACCCCATCCCAAATATATGAAAAATTACCTATGTCATTTAGGGCCAGGTATGATAATGTTGTATCTATTATAGACTGTCTGGAGATTCAAATAGAAAAGCCAACAAATGCTGTGCATCAGTCACTAACTTGGTCACAGTATAAAAAGTGTAATACTTTAAAATATTTAATTTCATGTACTCCAGATGGTCTTGTTAATTACATATCTGATGGGTATAGCGGCAGGGCAACAGACCTAATGATTGTAGAAAATTGTGGCTTCCTTGATCATTTACCCCCTCAAAAAGCAGTAATGGCAGACCGGGGTTTTAAAGATTTGACACGCCTGCTGGCAATCAAAAACTGTAGCTTGGTCAGGCCACCCTCAGTTTCCCAGTCCACTCCGAGTACTAAAGAAGATGTTAAGAAGTCAAAGCAAATAGCAGCTTTAAGAATTAATGTAGAACGTGTTATAGGCAGACTAAGAGAGTTTAATATGTTATTGCCTCATGCATGCATTGACCATCACTTGATTCAGGTAGTGGATGAAGTAATAATAATAGCTTGTGGATTAATTAATTTACAGGATGTGTTAATAAAAAAGTAATTTATTATATAGAAATGTGTTTTATTTGTACAACAATGGAAAAATAGCATTAGACCAAAATAGTGTGCATTTGTTTAATATTTCTTCACAGAATTCCTTCTCATATTTCACTTCTATTATATTAATATTTGTAGTAGTCTCAAAATCACTTGCTGCAACACAGAATAGTGCTTTACTTTTATTATAAAAATGCATTTGAAGCTGCACTTGCGCTTTATATTTTAATGATACTTGGTTGTCTTTAATATATTGACTCATTGCTTTGTCTGTTAAAGGGCATTTCACTTCTATGACATATTCGTCAGTTACTCCATCAGGGGAAGCTCCCATAATAGGGTATTTAGAGTGTAATTTTAAGCCACACTTTTTAATTTTTATTTGCTTTAGTAATTCAACCCTTTTTAAAACTTGATTTTCCAGAAGTCGACCTCTTTTCATTGCTTCTGTGTCTTTTAATTTTATTGCTCCCATTATGGATTCAGTTAAAGCACCTTGTATTGTTTTACATTGGGCTGCTTCATGAGCTTTTGAAGCAGTTATCCGAGCATATCGCAGTTCATACCACAGAGGACAGTCACTTTGATTGATAGTTGCAAGTGCAGCTTTCTCGCATGAGGTCATATCCATGTTCTTTTCGCAAAATTCTATGAATTCTTGAGCATTTGATGGCTTGCTTGGCATCCTATTCCTCAAATAATGGATGGACAATTTTTCTAAAGGGCTTGGTTCTTTGAAATATTTCATAAGTTGATTGTCCATGTCATTCACACCAAGACTGTGATTTTTCAATATAGACAGAAAACTTGCACTTTGCTGCCTTTTTGGCTCAATATCTCTCTTCTGAGATGAAGTAATCTCTTTAGCTTTTATATACTTTAAGCTTGTGCCAACAGTAGATAACTTAGCTTTCTTCCAATAGCATTCCACACTTGTGGACGGTGGATCTTCACTTCGTCTGTGAAGCCATGCTAAGAAAGCAATGGCATGTTTACAGCCACCTAAAACAAAATAATCTTGGTTATTCTAAATGATCAAATTAACTGCATCATGGTACATACTATCGTATGATGACAAATGGTTACATAAACACATAAAACAGGTGTGATGACAAATGGTTACATAAACACATAAAACAGGGCCAGATTGTTTTTGTTACTTAATCAGATTTAAATCACTGTTTTATAGCAATTACTTACCTAAATGTGCCGCACAATCTTCACATTGCACAGACAGAATATGTCCCTCAGTCTCATTGCAAGTAGCTGTTACATTGTAACATTTTTGATGGACATTATGTTCTGGTGTTATTCTACCCCTTACGATGCATACATCTTTCTCTCGTTTTACTTGCACATATCCAATGGCTGAATCCCCATATGATTCTCGTTCAGATCTGTCACCAAAATTATAAATTTAGCTGCATATTTTAGGTTATATTTATGTTATACGAGTATTAACAAAACCATGAAAACGATCATTTAATAAAATTTATATAACTTATTTACCTCGCAGCTTTTACTCCTCTGAGTTCAGCAGACGTAAAATCTGAATTAGATGCGAAATAGGTGCTCATCATGAACACGTCTATTTTAGGAAGATTATCTGATTGTGCTTTGACAAAACCGGTTTCAGTCATTGTGTTGAGTCTTTCTACACAGGCATTTAATAATTTTACACTTAAAACGTATTAGTTATTAACTTAAAATGAAACAAATAATCACCAGAAACCAAATATTACAAATACACACAACTTGTTGACAGTCTTGACAGTGTAGGTTGACGTCACGTTTTATTCAACCAATAGCGTTGCGTTTTAGAAATTTGCGAGGGAATCTTAAAAAAGCCAATTTTTGATGATTAAATTTCACTATTAAAATATAATAAATTTCAAAAATAATTGTATGGGTATCTTTTTTTAGCAATAACAATTACAAATAAAAATATTTTGTCCATTTTGGTGTCACGTGCATATTCCCTATTAAACTTTATAAGCCTTGAATTAATTTTGTGCCCTCAGTGTCTTTTGTATCGATTTTCTACATTTACTAATTCGTATAAGTAAAATTCTCCATTTACGATTCATAATGAGTAATGAGTACGTGTCTCTAAATCATGTCCAAACACATTTAATAACATGGGGAAATCCATTCAACTGTGGTGGACAAGACGTTATTATTTGCGTAACTGGAAATCCTGGCATAACTGATTTCTACATAGATTTTGGATCACAGTTAAATAAAAATACTGGACTACCAGTATGTGTGATTGGTAAGTTAGCATTGCTTATTATTTTTAAAAAGAGAATAAATTTGTTGATTCATTTATTAAATTATAATTAATTTAAACATAATATTGTACATACACATTAACAGCGCAATATATATCAGTCTACAAGTAGTCGCTAGGTTATCATATCATTTTAGACTATCATGAACATGGTTAAAGTAATTTAAGCAGTTGAGAGTAACATTTTGATGTTGGTTGTGTGGTTGTTGGTAGACAGGATGTCCTTTCCACCTGTCATATTGGCCAGCTGCAAAGGGTATTGGTTTAGTTTGCTTTACCAAATAATTTTGGTCTTTTTAACGGAACTAGTTCCTCCCACACGCCCACCACTGTAACTCCTGTACACCAGGATCAACAGCTGTGACCCACAAAGACACCGAGTTATGACACTTGGGAAGTCCCAGGAAAATTAATAGATTTACATATATATATTTATTAATTAATAAATTAATTTTGGTCCTCTTAAACATAGTAGCATGGATTTAAAAGAGATGTTTGAGATCAGATGCCAATAACATACCTATGTGTTCCATAATATTAAAAACTTTCAATACTAAAATGAAACAGATTTGTCCTGTCACTTCTTTGCTTCCTACCTTTTTACACGCTTTATATTAGCTTCACTTGTATGTTTGTTTGTAACCAACTCCTTTGTGCGTGATTTTGACTGACTTTAAACTCAGGATTCGTTCAAACTTTGTAGATATATTGAGAACCAATGACAATACACTAATTAAAAAAAAAATGTTTTAAAAAAACTAAAAAACATGCCTGTTGCCAATATAGTAAAAACGCACCCCACGCTTTATTTCAAATTTATATTTTATTTTTTAGTTTGGTTTTCTATAAAAAGTGTGTTTTTCAGTTTTTTAAAACTATATATTTTTTAATTAGTGTATTGTCATCTGTTCTCGATATATCTACAAAGTTTTTATTTTACTTGTTAAATCAGAAAGTCATATAAGCAGGTAGGTAGGTACTCACGTTAGTCTAGAAATGTCTTTTGTTATTGACACTTAGCATAATATAGTTAATAACAAAAATAACAACTTCACACATCTCACACACACAGCCGTCTGATTCTAGAGCCTGTACTATGGTAACCAGACCACTATACTTATATATGCCTAAATACATACCTACATATAAAAAGCAGTTGAAAACTAATTATAATTTATTTATAGGACAGGCGGGCCATGAAGAAGTTCCAGATGAAAAATCTAATATATTAAAAGGACAAGAACATCTATTTAATCTAGAAGGTCAAATTGCACATAAGTTAGACCTTATCAATAATTTTATAGATAGGGAAAGTAGATTACACTTAATTGGACATTCCATTGGAGCGTGGTTAATTCTGGAATTATTAAAAGATAATGAGAGCTTAAGTACACGTCTCTCTTCTGTTAATTTATTATTTCCAACTATACAAAAAATGGCTGAAACAAGAAATGGCAAATTTTTAAATAATATTTTAAGAAGATTTCATTTATTTGTTATGTTAATATTTTATTTAACATCCTTATTACCAACTTTTATTATTAACTTCTTAGTTGAGTCTTGCTATTTGAAAATACAATCTCTGCCCTTAAAATTTTCGAAGCCAATATTTCAGTTTCTCAAACCAATGGTTGGAGAAAAAATTCTATTTTTAGCTTACAATGAGATGGATACAGTGAAAACTTTAAATATTACAGTGTTAGAGAGAATAAAAAAGTATACTTACATAATTTACAGCACTAGGGATGATTGGGCTCCAATAAATTATATTGACGACCTACAAATGTTTCAACCTCAAATCCGTCTCGAAAAAGTAGACATTGAACATGCATTTGTTTTGAAATCATCAGAAATAGTTGCAGAAAAGGTTTCAAATTTCATTAAAAGTACTACTTAGGAAATCTTAAACGACATTCTAGTTAAGTACCTATATTTAATTTGATTGGAGTCAGCGCTGTTTTGCCTTAAAAAAGCAACAAAATTATGGTCTTAGGTTTAGATTTTTAGTTTAGCCATCATCATATAGGTACAAATAGTCCAGTGCAAGTATAAGTTAATGTAAAAAATGACGGAACCCAGCTATTTAAAAAGTTGAATCTAGAGATGGGTCATTGAACTGATGACCGCCTCGTCACTCTGCGCTCGCTGAATGCACGTTGCAGAGTGATCGCCACTATGGCGATCAGTCCTAAACTTTATGATTTCTCTACCCTTTTTTCTTGTTAACTGTTGATCTCCACGTACACAGTGAAACAAAAGAAACATACTACAGCGCCATCTAACAAAGACACGCCGAACTACGGAGTAACTGCTAATCCTGTATCGCAATATGAATATTTCTCACGCTGATTAGTTAACCGTCACCTCGCCTGATCGGGTGGCACTTTGTGTATGAGCGACATTACACTCGGTCCTCCACATTAACCGTGTATTAAAGTTTTATTATTTACCACATGATGTAATAAAAATTCCCGAACGGAATAGATCAAATAATAATTTCATTACAATAAAAAAATTATTAAAAAAAACTGTTATGTGCCAAACGTATAGCAATGACGTTCAAAAAGTAATTTCTTGCCGAACCACCATAGTTGCGATGAGAAAATTATAACAATATAGGTATCCGATAAATGGCATTAAATTTTCCAAGTTGAAAAAAGAACTTGGAGGGGTACAATGCAAAATAGCATTGTGCATATTTGCATGCAACAATTTCTTTTTCCACAACACAGTTAGCGCCAGTGAACACATGACCTCCATATGACGTCACAGATAGGTCATAGACAGATCATAGTAGTTTTACATGAATATGACATAAAAATGACGGACACATTGATATGATTTCATATAGAATGACGTCATTATACTGATCGCGACTAGCGAAAAAACGGCTCGCAACGCGTTGTGTGAGTCATCATTTCACAAAAACCATCACATTAATTTCGCGTTTTGGTCTTTCTGGGATTACCACACATGTGGTATATGTATCTTACGCTCACGCTGTTTCGCTCTATAACCCTTAAATGCATGAATTAATAAATTGTACTGAAAAAAATGGTTTCAATTCTTTAGAAGCTGTGAAAAAGGGGAAAAAAATAAAAATAAAAAACAATTAAAATTTTATAGGTTTTTAATAAAAAAATCAAGTTGATGCATTTTTGGGACATTATGCAAAATAGTCTTAAAAAATGCTTTTATTAATTAACTGTGGAATAAGTTGAAACAATCGTTTCCTTTCTTTGCACAAAGGAATACATTGCACTTTGTGCATTTTACAAAGCTCTGTAGCTTACAGCCAGGTCTCTTGCACCTCATGCGTTGGTCGGTTTTAATTTGGCTATGACCAAGATTGTCTAACCGAACGTCAGACGGTGGAAGAACCTGGCACCCTTTCTTTCTTTTTGCCTTTATGGTTTCAGTGATGCTGCTGTTGCTAGGACGTCCTCTTGTTGGCTGGGTCGTAGTACCATAGGTACATAAGACATCAGCCAGCTCTGACCTGAATTCTGACAGATTTTTCAGCTTCTTTGGATCTGCTCCTTTTCTTGTCTCTACAGTTTTGTATAGAACCCAAGAGTTTATAATAGTTAAATCTAAAAGGTGGTAAAAAATCCTCATATACCATTTCCTGGTCTTGACTTTTATTCTATATCTGCCCAAAAATGAATCCATGAGATCAACGCCCCCCATATGGGCGTTGTATTCTTTGACTATTTTTGGGCAGTCTATAATTATTTTTATCTTTTCTGTTTTGTCATACCGTTCGATGGACTGTATTGGTTCAGCTCCTACGTAGGTCGAGAGCAGAACTACTTGTTTGTTATCTTTCCAGCTCACTGAAGACATGTCGACCCCATCAATATGTGTAATATATTCCACATACGACCCTCTTGGCACTTGTTTTTTCATTACATCCTGCTTTGACGGTAATTTACATTTCTTACCTAGGCGGTTTCTTTGAACAGTTCCTACACATTGTATTCCTTCTTTAGCAAAATAATACATCAAGGGCAATGTGGTATAGAAATTATCATGGTATATAATGTGATTAGCATGTCTGGGAATTATTCTAGCAAGTTTTATCACTGTTTGTGATACAACCCCTATATCAGGCTCGTTAGGCAAACGATCATCTTTTTCTTTGCCAGCGTAAATTATAAAGCGATAAGCAAAACCTGTCAGAGAACACAATACAAATAATTTAAAACCCCATTTATGGGGTTTATTAGGTAAGTATTGTTTTAAAAAATGGCCCATCTTGGTGGCACACATTTGCTCATCGATGGATAAGCGCTGACTGATTGGAATGCTGGAGAACTTGGTATTGAGATGTTCAATTACAGGGCGTAGCTTGTGAAGTCGGTCATGCTGGGGATGATCTATTGGTAGGTGTTTATTGTTATCGTTGAAGTGAAGTACTCTTCTTATTTTTTCAAATTTATTGAAAGGCATCGCTTTTATAATTGCCTCAAACCCGTGCTTGTTAGCCCAATAACCACGTACACTTGGATAGTGGTAGACACTCATATAAATCAAGATTCCCAGATATTTTCGCAGTTCTCCTAATGTTATGACGTCAGGTCTATCAGGTTTATTTTGTACAGCATAATTATTTGTTTCAGTAACAATTTGTGAAAGAAATTCTTCAGTAAAAAAGTAGGAAAAAAATTGGAAAGGTGTCTGAAGGTTCATCAAACTTTCAGGGTATTCTTCAGTTCCATTAAATTTTATGGCATTTTCGTTGAATGGCAGAGGTTGGTTTTTCCATATCAACCTCTGAATGTCTAAAGAATGTACCGGTGCATCATTATTATTTGAAGGAACAGCATCCGCTATTACAATAGGAGGATCGGGTATAATTTCTTCGTTATTATTATTAGACCTAGCCTCACCGTCGTCATCATCATTTTCTAAAACATCTAGTAAATCTTGTTGGGTAGGATAAAAATCAAGTTCGTCACCGTCCGATTCGAAATCGTCTTCAGAAATGGCGCCATCTTCTAGCTGGCGCAACCAAAACTCAATGTCACCATCTCTCCTATTATTTTCTGCCATTTCTAAAACAAAATAACCAACCACATGCATACCTCACCAAAGCAAAATAAATAAAATCACAAAATGTATAGCTTCAAATAGCAGTAGTAATTTTTACCAATAGTGCATGCTGTCCCATTTTTGCATCAAAACAAAAAAGCTTCCTGTTCATATAACAATTATGGTAAATTGAAAAAAGGATAAGTTATTGTATAAATAATAGTCATTACCTTTAGAAAACAATTTTTTTTTCTCCAAAATCAGCAAATAACTTCGTGATATATGTCGCCAAAGTGCACTCAACTCAAACCTATTTGAGAAACGCGCGCCAAAAAGTGAAATGTCAATCAGCCACAGATAAAGATAACAACACAAAATGTTACTAGTTGAGTTATTCTATGGTTAGAGAAGGAGCAAAAGAAACATTTCATACAGCCTAATGTATCAAACACAAATATTATGGACGGATATTGGTGGTTTAATTTGGTGATTCAATTTTGGGACACTATGCGTTTAAGGGTTAAAGGTATTTTTATATATTTTAGATTCTGTAATTAATTTTTTGACTGCCTGTCTCCATAAGTATCAATATCCACAAATATCGGCTGTGGCAGTGAAATCAGAATATTCAGAAGCTAGAAATCAGCTTCACTAACAATTTAATATTATATAAAGTACACAAAGAACAACAAAAAACTTTAAAAATTAATAAGGTATTGCAGCTACAGTTGAAGGTAAAGGGAGTAAAAATGTAAAGGAGACAGTTGTACCTACTGTTTGTCCGTTTCGAAAAAAGTTACTAAGTAGGTACAATACTAATAACTGTAATTTGTTAAAGAATGTGTTAACTACGACTATTTTCGATGCGTATCGTCATGTGTAACTTTTGGGCAAGCTATGGGCACTCCCATAGCTTGCCCAAAAGTTTCGTTTCGTTTCGTCACTAGTGGTAAGTGACCACCGCCGCCTATAGAAACCTGTAAATCGATAGTTACAAGTTCGCTATCGGCTTTTTTAGATCCGTGTAGGTACGCTATTCTCTTTCTTGAAATTTTCTGTATACTCAGCACACTAAGTTTCTTCTCGACTAATTTAATTACCCTCTAAGTGATCGCGAAACTGAACTTCGCTGATTTTCGCCAAGAAATCTAATGTTGGCTGTTGCAGTTTAGAGAAGTGCTCTTAAAGTAAGCCCTGTCTAAGGGTGATAGTGGACCTCAAACTTTGATTACAGACACAGATTATTTTGCATCTCCATGTGTCAGAAGGTTTATCACTCGTTTGTGGATTATATAGAAGACAAGAATGCTTGGGATTAATGCTATTTCTTAAGTGAAAATGTAGTGTGGGCTAGTGTTTTACTTCACTTTAAATTCTATACCATCTTTTTTCTTTATCCTGTTTTCTCTTCATTGATTTTAACTTTTAGTAAGTACTTAACAACTGAAATACTGGCGCCCACATCAAAACTATAATTATGTTGTGATATATTTTATTGGTGCTACTGTATATAGCTGTACTAGGCATGCCTTTTATGTTCTGTCGTTTCCATATTTCCCGGCAATTTTGAATTTGGAACTGTTCTCTATTCGAATGTATTTAAATTTTGAATCGCAAAACAGTTGAAAGTATTAGGATTAATGCCATTGTTTAGTCACAGCGTCGATTGGAATCTATCAGGTTACGTACGAAAATCAATCTTTCTAAGGAAAATGTTCGTGCAATAATTTTCTGCAACTTTAGAAGAGGCCAATCATTTTCGTTCAATGATTTTCGTTGTGGCTTAAGTCAACAAGAGAGTTGCCAGGAACTTCAATTGGCATTTGGTGATGAAGCACCATGTTGCAGCTCTGTGTATTCGTG